ATTTTCATAGAACCAGCATGGTGGCGATCACCTTATTCCCAGGGGTTATTTTCATTCATGTATTCCTTGATATTATAATAACCCTTTTTGTACAGTTTTTCTTTAATAAAACTTTTAAACTTGTTTATTGACAAACTTTGAACATGTTCTGGGATTCTGTTGTAAAAGCGTATACATTGCCCCATAAATGAATTACTAATTCTGTGGAGTCTTGTAAGTGGCATTACAAGCTTATGTTTGTTCCTAGTGTTTAAGGTATGAACATCCTTATTCTTATTAAAGCTATTTATGTTTTTATGTAAATACATTACATTTTCATAAATATATTGCGATGCCAAAGTTAATATGTTTATTTCTTTAAATTTTTCTCTAAGGGACTCTTTACAATTTAGATTATAAATCGCCCGTACGGCTCTCTTTTGCAAAACAAATATAGCTTCAATATCAGTCGCATTACCCCATAGCAAAATTCCATAAGACATTACGCTATGAAAGTAACTAAAATACACTAACCTAGCTGTCTCAACATCTGTGAGACTTCTAATCTTTCTTACAGCATATGCTGCAGAACTAAGTCTGCTTGCTAATTTAGATATATGGGGGCCCCATTGAAGTTTCGCGTCAATAGTAATACCGAGAAAAACAGTGGTATCCACAAGACTCAACTCCTCCCCATTTAAGAGCACATTGGTTTTCGAATGTTTTACATTAGGTATTGTAAATTTAATACATTTTGTCTTATTGCCGTTTAAGAGCAAATTGTTGGCGTTAAACCAATGTACTAGTTTCGATAGAGCATTATTTACATCGTCATATTTAATTGACTGCCGTTTCAGTTTGAAAATTAAAGAGGTATCGTCAGCAAATAATACTATATCGTGATTATCCCCTACAAGATAAGGTAAGTCATTAATATAGATTAAGAACAGGAATGGGCCAAGAATCGAGCCCTGAGGAACGCCCATTGATACTACTGATCCGGAGGAACATTTACCATTAATGACGACTTTTTGAGTTCTGTTACTTAAATATGAAGTAATAAGTTTAAGCGCCAAATTTTTTACACCGTAATGTTGTAGTTTCCTGATTAATGTATCATGATGAACACAATCGAAAGCCTTGGAAAGGTCACAGAAAATACCTAAGGCATCTTGTGAATTCTCCCAGGCATTAAAAATATATTTCATAAGCTCAACACCGGCGTCAGACGTCGAGCGACCCCTTGTAAAACCAAATTGATTTTTATGAAGTAATTTATTTGTATTAAAAAAAATTAACAATTGATCCAAAATTATTTTTTCAAAAATTTTACTGAGAGTTGGTAGTACAGAAATAGGTCTATAATTAGCGGGGTCCAATGTACTACCAGATTTAAATAAAGGTATTACTTTACTATACTTCATTAAATCAGGAAACACACCAGAATCGATACAAGTATTAAAAATAATAGCAAGATGAGGTGCAATTAAATCTATTATGGACGCAATCACTGTAACGGAAATCCCCCACAAATCTGCGGTTTTCTTTACATCAATGGTTTTGAAGTATTTTACAATATTATGCGGTAATACTTTTTCAAATCTAAATTCTTTTAAACAGGTATTAACGTTCTGTTTAAGTAATGATTCGGCGACAGTTGGAGAAGCATTCAATGACTCTGTTGTCAAGATAGGAACATCAGTGAAATATTTCTCAAACACCGCTGCAACTTCTTGATTTGATTTAGTCAATTCATTATTAATTTTTAATTGATAGTTTGAATTACGAGGTTTCTCTTTACCGGTTTCGCTGTTAATTATACTCCACGTCATTTTAATTTTATTCTTAGCTGTCTTAATTTTGTTACTAATATGTAATGATTTGGCTGTGGAGCAAACTCTTTTAAACATTTTAGAATAATTTTTTACATATTCTTTAAAAGCATCGGAAAGATTATACGATCTTTCATGGTAAAGGTCATATAACCTTCGTCTGCTTTTATGAATTCCTACTGTCGCCCACTCATTAAATGCCTTGCGACTGTTTCTGGAGAATGTTTTAGAAGTGAATGTTTTATTAAATTCATTGTTTATAAAGGTAAATAATTCTCTATATAAATAGTCTGCATTGTTCTTATAAGAAAGGGATGGAAGGATTTTTAACATATTACTTCTAAATCTTCCCAGGCGTTTTGCATTAATAGGAACAAACACAATTTTCTCATTTACCTGTTTTTTGTGCATATAAGGTAACGAAACAAGTTGTCCACAGTGATCTGAACTAAGTTTTTGTATTATTGATTTGTTGATTGGTACAACACCTGTAATAATACGAGGGTGGATTGAAAAGTACTCGGCCTAACACAGATCCATTCAATTCTACAAATCAAATATATCCACATTATTTAGTTCAGTTCAAACTAGTTCATTGTGTGAAGTTCGAAACGTGTGCGATAATTATTTGTGATTGTATAAATTTATTAACAAAGTAATCGGACATAATTTCCGCGAATGGAGCAAATCGAGCAGCGTGCCGTCATTAAGTACCTCCATAAGAAGGGGCTATCATCAAAAGCCATCCATGATGACATGGTCAGTACATTAGGCGATTGTGCTCTGTCATATTCATCCGTCAAAAAATGGATAGCAGAATTTAAGCATGGTAGAGAGAGTGTGAAAGATGAACCCCGCTCTGGAAGGCCTTCGACGTCAACTACTGACGAAAATATTAAAAAAGTACTTGATTTAATAATGGGAGACCGCAGATTAAAAATTAGAGAGATAGCCGAGATTATAGGCATCTCTTATGAACGAACTCAAAACATCATTGTCAACGAGTTGGGTTTCCACAAGGTGTCTGCGAGGTGGGTTCCGCGACTGCTTTCAGTTGAACAAAAAAGGACGCGATTGACTATTTCACGCGACTGTTTGGAGTTATTTGAAGCCGATGCAGATGATTTTTTGAATCGTTTTGTTACTATGGACGAAACATGGGTTCATTACTGTACACCGGAAACAAAACAACAATCAAAACAGTGGAGAAGACCTGGTTCACCACCCCCTAAAAAGGCTAAGTCGATTTTGTCGGCAAATAAGGTGATGGCTTCAGTATTCTGGGACTCGAAAGGTGTGATTATGATTGATTATCTTGAAAGGGGTCAGAATATAAACTTTGATTACTACTGCACCTTACTACGTCGTTTACGAGAGGAAATAAAAGAAAAACGTCGAAGAATTCTCAGAAGAAAAGTCCTGTTTCATCAAGATAACGCCCGTGTTCACACGTCAGTACAGTCAATGGCTGAAATTCACAACTGTGGCTTTAAACTGTTACCGCATCCGCCGTATTCACATGATCTGGCACCATCAGACTTCTTTCTGTTCCCTAACCTAAAAAAGCACTTGGGAGGTCAAAGATTAGATTAGATTAGAAGACAAACGACGAGGTCAAAGCAGCTGTAGACGCATATTTTGACTCTAAGGAAGACTCATTTTTTTTCAACGGTCTAAATGCTTGGAAGGGGAGGTGGCAAAAGTGTATTGAACTTGATGGTGATTAAGTAGAAAAATAAAAATATAACTGATTTAGTATTTGTTTATTTTCTTGGTTAGGCCGAGTACTTTTCAATCCACCCTCGTATTATCAATACAAGTTGCACTACACCCTGCAATACGTGTAGCTTCAAAGAATAAATTATTAAGATTATAGGATTTGAACAAAGAACAGAGAACATGGTCATCATATATTGTTCTTTAACAGCCTCTCGTAACTCCTCTCTACTGCTCGATATAAATCTTTAACCAAAATTTAAGTAACAATACTAAAACTTGAAAAATTCGCCCATACTCACAACAATATCCAAGAAGGTTTGTAAGGCCTGTAAGGTTTAGGGATGTGGAAGGACTGTGTTGTGCCGATGCAGGGCACTGAAGCTCATGCACTGGCACTGACACTGATGTGTGTGTACATGTCCAGAGCCAAAGCAGCCGCACGGAAACTTGGTGTCCTTACAAAGGTGCGGCGGTACTTCACGCCGGGGCAGCTTTTTACCTTATATAAAGCGCAAGTCCGGTCGTGCATGGAGTACTGCTGTCACATATGAGCTGGTGCTGCAAAATGCCACCTGGCAGCATTGGACTCAGTGGAGAGACGTGCTAAGAGGCTCATTGGTGACCTTGATTTGGTTGAAACCAATCTTGTCGAACACAGGCGCAGAGTAGGCAGTCTCTCGGTATTCTATAGGATGCATTTCGGTGAGTGTGCGCAGGAATTACACGCCTTAATTCCTCCCTCTCCTTTCCACCATCGGACAACCAGACGGTCGGCGGGTCTTCATCCCTTTGTTGTCGATATTCCACGCATTAGAACCAAACGGTTTGCTTCGTCTTTTGTAATGCGTACAGCAAAGGAGTGGAATAATTTGCCGGCGTCTATCTTTCCGTCCGAATACAATCTAGGCGTCTTCAAGGCAAGAGTGAATAGGCTTTTGTTACGATAAGACAGTGCGATTTACCAAGCCTGCATCACCACTTACTACCAGGTGGGATTATGGTCAAGCACTGGCTTATAAGAAGTAAACAAAAAAAAAACGACCATTGTCTGGCATTACCAAAAAAAAATATTATCTATATAAACTTGGAATGTAAACATCATAATCTAAATATTCATCCAACCTTTAGAGCCATTTCTGAGGCACCAATGGACATATTAAAGTATAAAATAAATTGCACATGAACAAACACTCAGACCCAGCACTACATAGTACATTATACTATTGTAATTTGCATTTAGCATCACTATCACTATAGCCCATCACAACTCTACTACTGGACGTAGGCCTCCTCGTTACATTGAGATAAAGTATGATCCTGAACCAACTGCATCCGTTGACTACCTGGGTGTTTGATCAGGTCCACACTCTATCTAGTGTGTGGTCGCCATAAAGTAATTCCAAATTTAATTAGCTATACTAGAGCCATTATATAGAAAAAAGGTGTTAATTTATTAACTTTATTTTTCAGATATTGCCTGTCAGCATGCAACTTTAGACTGAAGCCAGCAACAAAAAAAGTGGTGACAAAACCTGCAGTACCTACTACGCCTACTATTAAAACTGTGACCACACCTAAACCCAACACAAGCCAACAGAATGTGGTTGTGAAAAGACCTCAGGGAACTATTGTTAATGTTTCTACATCAAAGCCAAGTGTTGTTCCTAAACCTCTTCTGAAATTCACTTCAGGGAGTAAGGCAAGTAACTATAAAAGTAATTTTGATAAGGAAAAAATACAAACATATTTCATAAAAACTATTGGCGATCATATATCAAATTAGGAATGTTATAGTGGTCAGAAAGACCATTCATCCATTCTACTACAGCCTATAGAGTCTGCTGCTGATCATTGACCTCGCCAATAGTTCGCTTTATAGATGGGATTTCGCTATGGTTGCCACACTTGGCAGCCGGGTTGGCAAACACTGTTTTTATTATTTTGTTTTATCATCAAGAAGATAACGCTGCTCATCTCCTGATTCTGTTTCCCTCTGTCGCCTTTTCAAACACCCATGGGATGTATAATTTAGAATATCATTACATAGAGAATTAATATTTACTTTTAGGCTTAATGGAGTAAAATGCAAATAAAATGGCAGCTATAATTCTAATTAACATACTCTTGAAGTTTAAGTTTGTTACATTTGTACCTTCTTTTTAAATAAAAATTTAAATACTTTTAAAATTATATTTAATTATATACTAGAAACTAATGGGAGATCTCAATTATTAGGTTGTTGCAAAACCAGCAGTACGTGTAACGGCTGGACCATCATCGCAAGCTCCTGTCAAAATGGAGGTAGACGAAGTTGGCGCGCAGAAACGTAAGAGAGAGGACGACGATTATGACATGTAAACACGTGAAATATAGATAAGTTTCACTGCTACATGTAAAGAATTTTAAAATATATTGTTTTCTAGCTATTTGTTTTTTTTTAATGTTAACATACCGACATGATACAAAATTATTCAGTTTATTTGATGCGGATGGAGACTAGTTAGTCAGTAAACCATTAACAAATATTTAATTTTCTTAGGAATATTTGTTACAATGATAAAGATATCCACCTAAAGTGAGTATAAAACTTGTTTGACATAAATGCATGCCCTGTAATACTACTAAGTCAAACATACAGGTCTAGAGTTTCATTTTAAGATTAAACAAAAACACTTATAAATTTAAAAAGTTTTATTAACAATAAACTATAAATAAAAATAGCTCCCAATTACTCTTACGTAATAACATGTTTATAAAATGTGTAAACAATCATTCCATGATTTTTGATTTACTTCTTTTCATACTTGTAAAAACCCTCGCCGGTCTTCATCCCAAGTTTACCTTCCGACACCAACTTATTTAGTAGCGGAATAGGTTTGAACAGCTGTTCCTCTGGAAACTTCTTGTGCCAGCCATCCAGAATAAACTTGATGGTGTCTAGTCCTATGTAGTCCGCCAATTCTAATGGTCCTATAAGATATCCAGCACCAAGTTTCATTGCAATATCTATGTCGCGTGCAAATGCGTCTCCTGAAAATTATAAATATTACGTAAGTTGTCCAGCCTATATACATTCTACAGCCTATAGCTTAGCATTGGTCGCAACCAATTTGCGTGTTATAGAGAAAATGGTATGATATGCATGCTAGTTTAGTGCATGTTGGACTTTACATGTCTGACATATTTTATTTTAATGATGTACAGATTCCTTCACGTCACGATGTTTTCCTTCGCCACTGAAACATTCTGTAGTATAGCTGTAGAGCATTTGGCAGTACACTTACAAAACTTACAAAGAGCTAAAATTATAGTTGATGGTTATGGATAAAGCAAAAAAAAATGTTGAACATTCTGGGGGTAGTAATAATTTTTAAATGAAAATAGTAAATATGCATTTATTTTATTTAGTGACAGAAGAGGTCACATTTCAAATGGTTGCTGTATCCATTCAACACCTGCAAATAACTTCAAGCTAAGAAAGTAATGATATCTCTGAGGATTAAGAAACCTTAAAAAAATCTGAAGAACGGTAGACCCTTCAGGCCATCCCTGGAACTTCCCGCTTATTTTCGAGCGCAACGCTCGAAAATCTATTCAATTTTTGTTTTGAATTGAAAATCTAATCAGCTCGAAGTCTCAATGAACACTTTCGAACGCCGTGTCGCCCAACTCGATCGGTTTTTTTTTTATAGAATAGGGTGACAAACGAGCACACAGTCCACCTGATGGTAAGTGGTTGCTGTGGCCCATAGACATCTACGTTTATAATCAAAATGCAGATGCGTTGTCACCCGTGAGGACTAAGATGGAATGTCTCTTTTCCAGTAAAAAGGATCTCCGGTTCTCTACACTCACCATACGAAACACAGCAGCGTTAAGCTGCTATTTTACGCTGGTTTTCTGTGAGAGTTCCCCGGTCGAGCCGACCCATTCGTGCTACAACTATACTACTAATATAGCTGCAGCATGGCTCTACCACGTATGAAAACGGTTGATTCATTCTAAAGATTCGTACGATAAAATTTAAATCTTACCAAAATCTATAACTCTACTTTTGAAAATTATTAATTTTCAAAGCGGTAAGTTAAAAAGGAATTAAAATGAGAAACAAAATGTACACCTTCCCCTTTCTCAAGAACTATTGTACCCCTTGCAACCATACAAAAAAAATGACTACTATGATCATTGTTGTATAAAAATATGAGTATTTAATGTAGTCAAAAAAGTCACCTCGCTCAAACAGCCTAATGGCTTCAGCAATGTATGGAACAAGTAGTCTGTTCACAACAAATCCGGGTGTGTCCTTGCAAGTGATGCATGTCTTGCCCAGAGATTTTCCCCAGTCCATCATGCTCTTGTAAGTTGTTTCCGATGTCTCTGCTCCGCGTACCACTTCTAAGAGACGCATGACTGGTACAGGAATAAAGAAATGTAGTCCACCAAACCTGCCATAAAAGACAAATAGTTTATTGGTACTATGATGAAAGCTTTACGTAGTGCACTGTAAGAAAATTCACTACCCTATATCATCCTGTGGGTGTCGTAAAAGGCGACAGAAGTACACAAATCAGAAGATGGGCAACATCTTCCTAATGACTAAAAATAAAAAACTGCAGTTGCCAACCTACTCGCAAAACGTGGCATCTATCCCCCCTATGAGGCAATCTATGGTAGAGGCCTATGTTCAGCAGTAGACTTTAATAGCCTGTAACGGTAATGGATGATGAAAGCTGAAAAGATTAGCGGACTATAAAATCTGACTACCGAGGCACAGGCCCCATGTTCAAAAATGTGGAAATATTTTTGAGGGTTTAGTTATGTGTTTGTCCCATTTCTCCTGACTTCTGATTGATGTTTTCACTTATGCATTGCATTAGGCACATATACAAGGGTGACACTGAAAGTTTTTAGAACTGGCCACTTGTAAACAATATAATAAAAAAATAAGTTCAAATTTTGCCAATATTATTGTGTATGTATTTTATTAATTTGTCATTTGTTTACCATTTGGCGGCAAATTGAAAATTGTCTGTTACACGTCAGCATGAATTTAACGCAAGAAAATTTTCGTACAATGGCTTTTCATGACTTTCGATGTCATTTAAGTCAACAAGAAAGTTATGATAGACTTCGATTGGCCTTTCACGATGAAACCCCATCTGGTGCCACTGTTTACAAGTGGTTTAATGAGTTTAAACGTGGTCGCACTAATCTCACCGATGATCTGCTTAAGGAACGGCCTTCGGCCGACAGACGGACGGAGGAAGATAACATGAGTGTTGTGCGGCGTATGATATAGACTGACAAAAGAGTGACTTATCAGCAGATTCGGACAAGCTTAGGCATCGGTATGAATCAACTGCATAAAATCCTCCATGAACATTTAGCGGTCAGGAAGCTTTGTGCCCGGTGGATACCTCATAATTTGACAGAGGCCCAAAAACTCCGTCGTGTTGATTGGTGTCGTGATATGGTTCAAAGATTTAACGGAGGTGACTCAAATGATGTGTTCGACATACTTACGGGTGACGAAAGCTGGATTTATTGTTATGATCCTGATATTAAGAGACAGTCTGCTGTCTGGGTGTTTCCGTCCGAGGAGTTGCCAACTAAAGTGAAGAGAGGTTGAAGCGTGGGAAGAAAGATGGTGGGTTCGTTCTTCGGAAGGACACGTCATTACGCAACAATTATTTTCAAAGGATCGAAAAACAGTTACTGCAGACTGGTACACTAACAATTGTTTGTCACTTGTCTTGGAAATGCCGTGTAGTGGCGGTCAAGAATATCCACTACCCCCTATCCTCCCGTGGGTGTCGTAAAAGGCGACAAAGGGAAACAGGCAGGAGATGGGCAGCAGCATCTTCCTGATAATAGCCAAAATTACAATAAAAAAAAACTGCGGTTGCCAACCCGCTCGCCAAGCGTGGCAACTATGGCAAATACCCCCCTATGAATGAATGTAACAAAGAAACGGCCCCCAGTCCCCGGCGGCGCCGCTATTCCTGGCTACGGTGGCGACCATGGTAACGGCGGGGCTGGGGGTGCTAAGAATCTCCGGTGGAGGCTCGGTTGCCACCTTAGACGACTCGACCTGGCAACGTACAACGCACGCACCCTGAGGACTGACCAGAAGATCGTGGAGCTGAAAGAAGAGATAGACATGTTGCGCTGGCATATTATAGGATTATCCGAAGTCCGAAGAGAGGGGGAGGACACGGTAATCCTCGAATCCGGCAACTTGCTCTATCACCGGGAGGGCGAACATCTGTCCCAAGGAGGTGTCGGATTTATCGTCCACAAGTCTCTCGTTAACAACGTTGTAAAGATCGGGAGTGTGTCTACGAGGGTTGCGTACCTTATACTCAGAATCACCAAACGGTATTCGCTGAAGGTCATACAGGTTTACGCACCAACCTCGGCCCACCCCGATGAAGAAGTGGAGGAAATGTATGAGGATATCTCTAAAGCCATGCATTCCTCCAAAACCCAATATACGGTGTTAATGGGAGACTTCAATGCAAAACTAGGCACAAGAGAGAACGGTGAGCTGAAAGTAGGGAAATTTGGAATAGGGCAACGGAACCCAAGGGGCCAGCAGCTGGCCGACTTCATGGAGAAAGAGGGACTCTTTATGATGAACTCTTTCTTCCAGAAGCGGCCCCACAGAAAGTGGACCTGGTCGAGCCCCGACGGTTCGACAAAAAATGAGATTGACTTCATTATGACGACCAGACGACAACTGTTCAGTGATGTCTCCGTGATCGCGAGGGTGAAAACTGGTAGCGATCACCGAATGGTTAGAGGCACACTGAACCTAAACGTTAAGTTGGAGAGGTCTCGTCTAATGAAGTCAACGCTCCGTCCCCCTCGTGCTCTGTTCCAAAGTCCCGAAACCTTTCAGCTCGAGTTACAAAACCGTTTTCAGTGCCTAGAAGACTGCAATGAAGTGGACGATATGAATGACAAGCTCGTGGAAACTGTTCATGCGGTCGGAGCTAAGTTCTGCAAGACCCGCCGCAGAAGAACACAAAAACTCTCCGATCACACTCTTAATCTCATGGCTGTTAGACGGGAGATGAAGCTACATTCTTCAACAGACTTGACAGCATACAGGCATCTGAACAGACAGATCTCCAAATGCATGCGGCGGGACTTACGCAACTTCAATACAGCTCGTATTGAAGAAGCGATCGAGCGGAACCAAGGCTCCAAAGTCTTTGCCAGAGATCTGTCTGCCAGAAAGAGCCAACTGTCAAAGCTGAAGACAGAATGTGGCAGCATCGTTTCCGGGACACCTGAGATTTTGAGTGAGATTGAGAGGTTCTATGGGCAGCTGTACACGTCATCGTTGGAGCCAC